AAGTCCCGACGAGTCCGTATTAACGACTTTTGACTGTATAGACGATGTAAGAAATGTAGCACAAAGGCCCAAGAAAAGAGAACCCGCTATATGTGTCCAGTATGTGATGTACCTTTGTGCATTGCAACATGTTTCTCATCTTTTCACGGCAAATAATCGCCTTTAAATTGAATTTTCTCTATGACCATGAAAGGTCCCGTGGGAAGTATACTTCCCACCCCTAGAATTTAAATGTAAACAAAAAATTTGGAAAAATAAAATATATTTCCTTAAATGCTATTGTTTAGTTGATAATAAAATATAAAAAAACAACAGAAATTCAAAAAAAGAAATAAATGGCCCACGAAAGGGTTAAACAACAAAGGTTAAAGTTGTACTTCCAGACAGACAGGATTAAGGTTTAGAAGATGAGAATAAGCATTTGCAGAATGCTGTTCAAATTCTGTATTGTGGTTCCTTAGAATATTTCAATATGTGGTTAAGCCCTTCAAGGAAGTTTCTGGATTCAAAGGAAATAACTGAAAAACTTCTCATATTAAAAAACTGATCCATTGAATACACGAAGGGTAAAGGAATTGGCTTTGGTGTCAATTAGTATTTTAATCAGTTTTGCACTCTGAAGATGTTCACAGTTTCATACAAGATTGATGAAACTAAGTTAGCATCATTTTGAAAAAAAAAAAAAAAAAGGTTTTGTACTTCAGGTATTCAAAAAGTGTTAAGTATATTTTTGCTCTTCTGAAATTTATGCAGTTCTTTGCCATTTCTGCCTACAGTGCCATCATAAAAATTTTATTTTCTTTAATTTAAATACAGTGGACTGAGAAGATGAATTACCTTGTGAAATTAATGCGAGAGCTAAGTTTTCACACTAAAGTACATTTTTGTCATTTCATTTGTATAGTATTCCATTTACATCTCCAAAAAAACATCCTGATATTTTGAAGTTAATTAGATCAGTAGACAAATATTCAAGAACAATTTGAATGAATAAATGAAAGGTATGTTCATCCTTTTGTTAGAATGCAATTAACTGGAACATTTTTAATGAGTTCACTGCAAAAGCAGATATGGTGCATTTGTTTATATATGTCAAGATCCTATTTGCATTTAATTCTTTTAAATTATTTTCTGTTTTATTCTATTAATATTTATACATGTAGTTGGCATATGAAAATAATGTTTTTGCTTCCTGTGCCTATTAAAAGATAATTTGGGTTTAGTTAAATTATACTCACCCATTTTGTGCATTTGTGTAAAACTCCTGCTTATGTCATACATTATTTTCTATTAGTCTACACAAGTCACTGAATAAAAATTTGAGCAGTCTGTGTATCATATTTCCCAAATGAAATGAAAAAAAAAAAAAAAAAAAGTGTTTTTTTTTTTTGTTGTTTTTTGTGATCTAAACATTTAGTTAACTGTATTTATCCTTTGAGAAAAAAAATGATTCATTGTACTATGACAAGTGTATTGTTTAGTCCCTTCTTGCACTCCAAATATCTGAATATTGCATGCGCTTGCTATGGCAATACTTATATTTTGATTTAGGTAAGGCGATGAATAACAAATTACCTCATATCTGGTAAGTAAACTTGATTTGCTTACTACAGTTAAAAGTCGTTAATCTGGACACCCATAATCCAGACCTCAAAGCTACAAACTTTCTGTGCATGCGTCAAAGCATAATGCGTTCACGCATGCGCATAGGCGTTTTCACATGCGCGTAATACTTTTACGCATGCATATACGCATAATACGTTTATGCATGCGCATTTAGTGTGTAATGGACAGTATAAGGGAAACTAAAATTATCTAATTATCTATTTCAGTTAATGTTGCAGATTGCGTTGTTCCTTAATCTTCTAATTGGATCCGGCTTATTATTTTTTGCAGACTGTTATAGCAATTTTATAAAAGTAAGCTTGAACTTTCGATTATGTCAAAAAGAATTTCCGATTCTGGAGCTACCAAAGAATCTACAAAGCGAAAGCGTGTTTCGGTGTCCATCAAACAAAAAGTGGAAATGCTGCAAAAAATGGATAAAGGCATATCTTTTGATTCTCTGATCATTCCAAAAATCTGTTTATCAATTTCACGCTGCTCTGCGGGGGGGGGGGAAACGCCGCAGCGCGCAATGAATTGGAAGTTGATCTGTCAGCACTATCCTTATCTTCAAGGCAGATGTTTTTATTTTACTTGTTTTTATTTATAATTCCTTACCAAATGTAGTATTTCATCTCCATGTACTCCGTCTTTGATATGATTTAAATCAAATTCCTCGTCATTATAATTCGCTTCCGATAGTGAAGAAAGTGACACAGAGGTTATTGAAAACGAAAAAATTTCAATTGACAAATTAGTCGGTATTCTCGATACAGCAATTATAGGACTTGAACAGCGGAACTTTGTAACTGAAGAAGAAATTATGTCTGTTTATAGAATTAAAGAGAAAATGTTATCACATAAAAAAAACGAAGCAACTTAAACAACTTACAAACATTTGAAAGAAATGTTTAATAAAGTAAACAAATAAATATTAAGCTTGTTTTTTGTAAATTTTGATACCCTTTAGATCATAATTGTTCTTTATTTCATAAATTACGGTTTCATATTTTTAATTTTATAATTTCTTCTGCATGCCATCTTACCTTATTTAAACTGATGATCTATAATCCGGAATCACCGAAGACCGAGTCCCGATGCGTCCGGATTAACAACTTTTGACTGTATCATACACAATTGTGTTGCAATTCTATACGATTCTGCTATAAACCGAGGAGTGGAACCTGCCTGCATCTTTTGCAAAATTTCCACTTTTTGCATTACCGTCAATGCAAGGTCTTGACGTTTTTCAACGTCGCAAGCAGTAAAATCATGAGTGCGTTTTTTATCTGTCATTGTATTAAAAGGGCTGAAATTTAATATATTCTTAATTTATCATCAAAATATCCGTAAAAAAAAAAGCAATATCTAATTCAATACTTATGTGCTTTGAATTACCTGTCATTAATAAGGGACATTATTCAATGACATTTTTTCGGTTTTCTTCTATAGCAAAATTTGTGAAGTTAAGTTTTGTATAATTAGATACTTAGTTTGAACATATGCAGCCAGTCTGAAATATCTTTTAGTGACTCATTTAAAATTTATTCACATTTTTGTAAATTGTTAATGCCAAATTGCAGTATCTTACATAACAGGTAACTTCAGTGTCTAAGTGATACGAGGATGGATATTGTTCATTTAGATAAGGAAAAGAAGAGGACTGTTAATAGAGCCTTGAGAAATTCCATTTCTTAAAGCTAAGGGTGCATTTGTCTGTAGCAAAAACTTCTGTCTTACTCTAATTTGTTTGCTTTTTCAGAAAATGAGCAAGCCATATTGGAGTATTATCGATTTATTCGAAGATTTAACATGATTTTTGTGATTCTTTTGTTTCTAAGTAGGGTCAAAAGCTGACTTTATGTAGACAAATTTGCGGAATACAACCAATCTCTTTTTTATGTGCATGTATTATTAATTCTATCCAACTATAAATTCACCTTGAAAAAGTAAATGGTGCCTGCCATCCAACAGGTTTTCTAGAATGTGCTTTTAGGGACAAAAAGGTTGGGAATCCTTGCTTTAACATATAAGATAATGTATGCAATACTCTAAATAATGAGAGATGTAAAAAATTTGCAAAAAAGTACATATCGTACACAAAGAATGAAGTGCAAATTGTCATATCATTCATCCTTCCTATAGAATTTTTTATACTATAATACTAAATATTAAAAACATGTATTCAGGCGCTTTTGTTAATGGAACATCCAGTGCTTATTAAGAGATGTCACTATCAGACTCTTGCCACAAAACAGTGGTTTGCAAGATGATAAATAATGGCTGGTTGAGCAGTGAACAGAAGGTGAAAGTTGAAAGGCTTTTTGAAGAAGTGTTTGGTGGTGAAACAAAGACATTTTCGTGTACACTTTGATACGAATACTTTGATTGTGTCAGCAACTGAAAGACACTGGCTCTGTGTTAAAGAAACATGTATTATGCTCGTTAACTGTCTGCATACTTACATGTGGCAACATTGCTCCCTTTACACAGTCATTGGTTCATGCAAGACAGAGCTGTTCACACATTGCAAGTGTTTTCCTTGATTTTCTGTATGAGATGTTTATTGTAAATATAATATTACACTAATCTACTTGAATGTTTCAGAGTTCTTATTGTGCAGTTCTGTTATTGCACTTTCTAAAGATGTGCTGAGTATTGTGATATATGCAAAGGTTTGCTTGCAAGAGATTATGAAACAAAGTGGTTAACGTATTTGAGTACATAAATAAACGTATTTGAGTTAACGTATTTGAGTGCAATTAAACTCACTTTACATACTTAGACAGTTAATGTGCTTTGTAATATTTTAATGTTAAATAAATATATGATAAACAGAAAAAAGGAAAAGACATTTCATGCCCCATGTTTTTAGGCATTTAATTGTAGATATGTGGAGTATTTCTTAATAAGTAGGAAGTAACTAATTCCTATTTATGTAATAAAATTCATTAAACGAAAGAGTGGTAATTGCTAAAAAAAGTAATAGTTTTGTGCAGTATTATTATTTTTGAGCAATCAATAAACTTCTGTATTTCTTGAAAATTAAGTTTACATGTTTTTGTATTTCTTCTTATTGTTATTAATTTTCCTACATAAAAATCTTGCATTTTAGAATATTAATAAATTTTACTTTGCATTTAGTTTTAAAGTAGGATTTAGTACCAATCTAAAATCCATAACATAAAAATTAAGATTTCAACATATTGTGTATGTGAGGAAGAAATACTGAAAAGGCTGCAAGTGTATTGAATCATAGATGATAGCAGTTCTGTTATCTTCAACACATTTAATGATTTTCACTCTTTGTATTCCTGGTATAGGTTACTTAGTTTATTTATTAATTGCATTTTAGCATTATTTAATATTATAGTATTAATTTTTTCCCCTTTTAGGTGAAGGTTGGCATGGTAATGGTAAGTGATGGTAAAAGTCGTCCCCAACCGATGAGACTCCAGCTGAGCAGCAACATGTTGGTTTTACAGAAAGAAGAAATGGTTCCTGTAGGTTTGCCGACAACACCTGTTGTTCCACCTATATCACGTGATAGTATCAATGCACAGGTAAATCATTTAGACTGAAATCGAATCATAATTATTTTTCATCTTATGTTTAAATATATCCTTTGTATGCTTGTTTCTGTGTATGTTTTCCCTTTTATTGTGTGTGCTTAGTTTTTTACTATAAATCATCTTGTTCTAAAATGATGAATGTATCTTAGGTACTAGTCCCCCAAACCTTATAAAAAGTGATTGGTATTGTATGATATTTAGTAGTATTGTACAATAAAATCAAAGTTGCAGTTTAGTTTTATGCCCATAAAAACTCTTGGTACTTACGTATTAACACAACCAGGCCAAAATTCGCATAAATCGCCAAATTTGGCGACCATACTTACGGCAACCCTACGTGTTATACGTAGACGGAGACTTTTTTTGTTACTGTACCTAACAGAAGTGCCGTTACCCTCATGGAAAAAATTTGCGAAAATATCAAGGAAGGAAGCATCATTTATTCGGATTGCTGGAAAGGATACAATACAATTGAGTTTGAAAATGCTGGATTTCTGCATGGAACTGTTAATTACAAATATAACTTTGTGGATCCCAACACGGGCGTTCACACACAACATGTAGAGCGCATGTGGGGCTCAGCCAAATGGCGCAACAAAAAACAGAGAGGAACAGCCTGTCATCATCTTGACTCATACCTTATCGAATTTATATGGCGCCAAGCTCAAGCTGTTAATGACGAAGACGGTTTTTAATCAGTGCTAAAAGCAATAGCCAAAAGATTTCCGCCGAAAAAATAATTCTGCAACTTATTCAAATTCGAAACCGAAAGGGTTTAATTGCTATTTTATATTTTAAAACAAAATAATATGAAAAACTATTAAAAATTATCTGTAATTAATAAATGTACATTTTCTTTCTATTCATACTTTTTTACTCAAATTTGCAAATCGCGCCAACCTGGTTGCGATAATACGTAAGTACCAAATTCTTTAAGTTATGTACTTGTAAATATGCAAAAATTAAAATTCAAGTTAAGACATATCCTCAAGTTATGTCTTAGAAATTTGGTAAACAGAATCGAACATTGCTCTGCAATAATAATAATAAATTAATTTGTGTATTGTGTACATGTTAGCACTTTGTGCTGAAAGTATGGTCAGAAAAATGTCACTGGTGAAAAAAATACAACATTTCATAACCATAGTTGACTCTCCAAATAATAAGAAATTTGGGGATTAGGAGTTTTTCTTAGGTGAACAGCAAGTGTGTGCTGTCACTGCTTGTATCCTCTGTAAGGAGATGATAGAAAAAGTAATATACATAGTGTAACACGTCGAATCATATTATAGCATGGCAACTTGTAGTCTTAAAATCTCATGTGATAGCCGTATTGCAAAATGTTGAAAGGTAGAGTTTTTCCTTTCCTCATCTCCAGGCTTAAGAAGACATACACTACAAATTTTGAATGGAAAACTCTGACCAAAAGGAACGGGTAAGACTGGAAAGGAGCCAGACTGGGAAAAAAAATCAAATTCAGAAGTAAAACTGTCATAATTAGGGGTTAATGTTTTTATCAGGTAAAAAAATCACAATCACATTAAAAAAAATTAAGAAATTGTAATACATTATTTGGAAAATACAATTTATTTAATTTTGAATATGAAATTGTCTTCTGCTATGTCTAACAATTAATTTTCACTTCTGGGTTAAAAGACCCTACTCTGGTAGAAAGAACAATTTCTGATTTCTTTTTAGTAACGGAATTCGGTTTATTTATTTGAAAAGTAACTTCAGAACTTTGCTTTAAATTTTTATAAGGGCCTAAAAAAGGAGGAGAAAATTTTCTAGCATTGGGATATTGAAATTTCTCATTACTAAATCACCAGGTGTGAAATTACTCTCTTTAAAATGAGAGTCATATCTATTTTTTATTTACATTATGATAATATTCAGCTATTTTTCTAGCATCTTCAAGTGGAAGGTACAAATCTTGATTTTCAATTAAGGGATAATAAGATAATATTCCACACATTAGATAAAATGGCGGGGATTTTTATTATAGAATATGGTGTGTTATTGTGATCTTTGGTAACTTGAGGTAATTTTTTATGGCAGTTACTTCTTATAAATGACAGCTATGAAAATAAGTATTTTATAGAACATATTCAGTGTACCAGAAAGCTCTGTCCGTTTCCATGACAACAATTTTCAACACGTAAGCACATGCTTATTTGGTGCATGTTCAGCTTACTATTTTTATCACTTAATGTATATATACTGACATAGCAAATTAACTAAAACAAAATTGATTTATGTTAGTCTTAAGTGTGAAGTGATAGCGTATTCATGGCTACTGATAAAGTTCATTTACGCCACTGTTTATGCCACTGTGTTTTATACGAATTTCAACTAGAAAGAAATGCTACAGAAGCATGTAGAAGTTTGTTGAATATGTTTGGTGAAGGTACAGTAAATAAAACATGCAGAAGATGGTTAAAAAAATTTGAAACAGGTGATTTCTATCTTTCTGGTAAGCCGTTCTGGGTGACCATCTTTGATCGACGACGATGTTGTTAAGACCATGTTGGAGCAATATCCTTTTCTGACAACATTTGAGATCACAGAAAGGCTTAATTCAGCTCAGCAAACCATTTCAGACCATATTCGGAAGATAGGATTGGTGCAGAAATATTCAAGATGGGTGCCGCATAAATTAAGTCAGAAGAATTTGGATGATTGAGTTGTCATATGCACATCTCTGCTTGCTCTGAACAAAATCAAGCCCTTCTTGAACCGATAACTGGGAATGAAAAGTGGAATACCCTACGAAAACATCGTAAGGAAAAGGGCATATTGTGAACCCGGAAAACCTAGCCCCTCCACCTCTAAACCAAATTTGACTTTGAATAAAAGAATGTTGTGTATATGGTGGGACATTCGAGGACCAATACATTTAAAACCAAATGAAAAGCTCAACTTGGAGAAGTATTGCCAGCAACTGGATAATTTAAAGACAGCAGTCCAAGAAAAGGGTCTGGCGATGTTCAATAGGAAGAACACTATACTGCATCATGATAATGCCAGACCACATGCTGCTTTGGGGACTCGCCAAAAAATTGCAGAACTAGGTTGGGAAATTCGGTCACATCCACCATATTCCTGGTAGTTAGCACCCTCCAACTATCACTTGTTTTTGTCCTTACAAAATTTCTTGAAGGGCAAAAATTTCAAAAATGAAGGAGATATCAAGCAAGCACTGGTTCAATTTTTTCCATCAAAAGATACATTTTTCAAAAATGGGATATACAGTAGTTAGTCCAAAATCCGGACTCATTGGGACTTCGGCGATTCCGGATTTGGGATTTTTCCAGATATTAGATCATCAATTTAAATCTAGTAAGATGGCATGTAATAAAATTAAAAATATGAAATTGTGATTTATGAAATAATGAAGTATTTATGATCTAAAGTGTATCAAAATTTACAAAAAAAAAAAAAAAAAGCTTAATATTTATTTGTTTACCTTATTAAACATTTCTTTCAGTGTAAATTGTTTAAGTTGCTTCATTTTTTATGCTAATACTTTCTCTTTAATTCTATAGACAGACATAATATCTTGTTTAGTTACATTGTTGAAGTCCTGTAACTGCTGTTTCGAGAAATTCAAATAAATTGTCAATAGAAATTTTCCTTTTTCAGTAACTTCTCTGTCATTTTCTTCACTATTGGTAGAGGTATTTTCTGGATCTAGAACCATACTACAGATTAATTAATTTATGATTGAGAAGTATTGTCATCACAATGAAAAACTTCTTTTATATCATCTTCATTTATTACTTCTCCACATTTCATTACAAAATTCATTAATTGGATCATGTCACCTTTGTTTTGCGATATCCAAAAACCTTTAAAATTAGTAGCTATCATCATCAAATTTAGCTATCCTTCACTATACATATTTGGCTATGCATCATGAGCTTGACGACTAACGACAAGTTGTTTCGTTAAATTTTTATTTTGCTTCTATCGTGCACTGAGAGATTTAAGCCTGAATTGTATTAGTTTAGGAATTTATTATGCTTATCTCTATTTCTTGCACATACTTAAGGCTGATCAGAGTTCTGAATGAATACATTCCCACATATACTTAAGCCTTATTGAGGGCTGGCACTAGATATCTTACTGCCGTATGCAGTCTCTGTGGGTCCTAAATTCTGCGATTCGGTGTTTCCTTACAAGCTCTGGCACTGGTTCTGGGTTTATGTGAATAACAAATCAGTTATTCTTAATTCAAATAGCCCTAAATGTAATCTTTGGGTCTATGAGTATCATTAACAAAATTTATTTTTAGCATATGAAAAAGAAATTTTTGGTAAATGTTTCCTCGTCAACATTTTTAGCACATTTAATTTAAATCTGTAATAATTGCCAAGCGTACTGTCAACATAAAAGGTTACCATACTCCTTTATTATTCAATTAATAACATAAAAAATTTTTTAAGCATTGATGAGTCATTACTCAAGTTGTCATGTTTTGAAAAACATGCGATGATGAAAGGAAAAGTATAATAGATAATGATTCTCCAGGTTGGTGTCAGATCAACGATTATCTCTGTGGAATGTTTCGATTTGAGATTTGTGCCAAGCAGATATGCAGCAACAGAGCCAAATTACTGATTGTACAAATTTATGCTAAAATTAGTATTTCTTCAATAACAAGGTATTTTATTTAGCGTTGAAGAGAAATTAAGAATCAAGACTCTCCAGATGTTTTATTATGCATGGAGGGAGGGAATCAAATGCGCATGCGTAAAGCCTATGAGAAAACGGTGGTGGTTTTGAGGTCCAGATTTTAGATCATTCCGGATAATGGACATCCGGATTTCAGACTTTGTACTGTACAAATTGCCCTCATGCTGGCAATGTTGGCCCTCATGCTGTCATTAATAATAATGGCAATTATATTATTTAATTAAAGTTTATTGACGGTAAGAAAAGTTTGTATTTTGTTTTATTCCAAAAGCAGACATAACTTTCTGGTAGACACTAGTGCTAGAATATAAACAAAATATCATTATTAGTGCTATAAGACAATCACCTCCTCAGTAGAGCAAAATTATTTGGAACTACGGATAATCATCTTGGGGAAAATTCTCTGTATATAGGTACAGAAAATCGGATGTTGATTATATTAATTTGTGATAACTGATCGAAGTAAAAAAAAGTATGAGTATTATCAAATTCTGTGTCATCTATGGTTTTTATTATGCATAGCGTGTTTTTAAAGTAAGGACCATTTTGTTGTATATGGTAATATGTGCCGAATGGGCGGTAAAAAATGCTTGCGTCTTGTCCCGGCATCCCTTGGAAACAACTGTGCTCAGTTGCATCCTGTGTGTAGGTAACCTGTACTGTCTGTTCTGTGTCTTTAAAATGTTCAAGATTATCGAATAGCCCCCCCCCCATTCAAGGTAGAGTCAGTGATACTTTTTTGTAGGCAAGAAACCTGTCTCCTGCAGACAATCGCTGGCAGATTTGTGTAATTTACAGAAGTGTAACTGCTGTAAGTGAAGGCAAAGTGCGTAAATGGGTCAGAGATTTCAAAGCTGGCCTCGACAATGTCCATGATGAGTCTCATTCCGGCCGCCCATCTGTGATCACAGACGATATAGTGGCTTCAGTTGAAGCGAAAATTCTTGAGAACAGACGCTTCGTCATAAGCACTCTTTCAAACAAATTTCCTGAAGTGTCTAGTATAGGACGTAAAAACTGCTGTGATCTCCTGGTTATCGGAGCAGGCGCCAACTTTCTGTGAAGAGGGTATTCAAAATCTAGTTCTCAGTTATGATAAGTGTTTAAACAAACTTGGCAATTATGTTGAAAAATAGAGAAACGTATGTAGAATCTGAAAAAAAAATTGATTTTTGAAAATTTTCTTTCGTTTGGTTTTTATTTTCAAATGGTCCTTATTTAAAAAACACCCCTCTTACAATGAAGTCAAATTTATTCATTTGCATTTATGCTTTCTTTTCCAGGAAAGAATTGTAAAAGTAGTAAGGCAGGAAATTGGAGGTTTAGGTTTAAGTATAAAGGTAATTTTTCATGTTAATCTTAGGTAGCTGCTGTTGATTATAAATATTACTATTTTCAATGGTAAACTACATTTTTTTTTTGTTTGCAGGATATTAATTACAAACACTGAAATAATTAACACATTGCTATGCATCTTGTTCGATACATATATGTTAGTACTTGATAAGCTCTTAAGGGCCATTAAGACTGGGGTTTATCTGAGCTAACGGAAACATCTGACATAGTTGACCCATCTTCAAAACCAGTTTTTCCCATAGGGCAGCGAGTCGATAAATCTGAACTGCAGGTATAGCAGAGCTAGTCAACACATGACACTGACTCCATTAGCTCAGATAAACCCCAGTCTGAACGATCCTTTAGCTACTGCTGGAAATGAATTATTTCTGCCATGTGTACAATCATTTATGCATTGCTGGCAGAACCTTATCATCTTTCTGGATTTTTGTTCCACTCAGACATGAACTGAGCTTTTTAAGTGAAGTGACAATATATTGTAAAAAATGTTTCACTATCAACATTATACTGCTAGAAAAGTTCAGGAAGCATTAACACATTTTTCTTAAGGCCTTGCATATCCATCTTACACACACTTTGCTCAGTTCACCATAAATTATGTAAAGGCGAAGCAACATTAATGTCTAATAATAATACCACATTCATCATCATAAATGCACTGGTTTTTCCACATTACATTCTTCATGGCTACAGTGTTGTTTTTCAAGACTGCTCGAGCCATTAAAGAGAATCCTTCACACTAGTGATACTAATTTTCATGTTTCTAGTCCATTCATATACTTATGCAAGACTAATATGTACTCTGTACTAGATTCTATCCAACAATAAACCTGTATATGTTCCATGGCTTTCATTTAATAAAAATCTGTTAATACTTGACTTATTTTGTTTGGTGCATTGTGATCTTGTCAAAATGTTTTCCAAGCAATATTGCCAGATCCTGTGATTTTTTACAAATTTGCTTTTTTTGACAAAAAAAATTTATGTCTATGTGATTTTTTCGATTTTCTGTTACTTACATTTTTTTTATATGTTGTAGAATATATATGTGTTATTGTATTGTATATATTAAAACTAATTTGTAGTAAAAAATAATTATTTAATTATGTTTAAATAAATGTTGGCAACTGGCAACCCTGCAATCGCAGCACATGTGCATTCAGTTTTCAACACTAGTCGTTGCTGTTTTTACGTGTTTCTGTGATTTCTTTGTTTAATATTTTGGTAATCTGTTAATAGGATTATAAAGTCAGATTACAGCTAATGTATAACTAAATTATGAATGAGTAAGGTGAACAAATTTAGCACTCCCTCTCAAAATCCTTGTCTTAAAATAACTATGTTTGAGGACTGGCTATGAAGATTGAAAACAGTCAAAAAAGCTTATTGCAAGCTATGTAAATGTCAACTGAGAGTACATAAAATTGATTTAATGAAGCACAATATGTCTTTAAAGTGTAACCAAAGTTTTATGTTTGAAAATGAATTGCTGTATTAAAAAGTATTCATTATGTTTATTTTATAATGTATTTTATTTCAAATGCTACTTAATAATTTTAAAATGAAAAGTTTTTAGAAAAATTGATATATACAGTCTAAACAAAATAGAGGGAAAATTTTAGAAGCTATTAAATAAATATCTGCTTATAACTGAAATAATTATCTCATTGTTAAAATAAATGAGTGTCTCACTAAATTAAAAAAAATAAATAAAATAAGCCACCAACTTAAAAGAATTACTAAATCGTAACTAGATCTACCTATAGTTCGCACCTGGTGACTTCTCACACAGGTGCGAAGATGAGCACAACAGGGAAAGGGTATCAAAGACCCTTTATTTATCACAAACTGCATAACAGTTTATTTATTTAAGTTGGTGGTTTATTTTATTTCTTGTGCATTTGATCAATTATATGGACTTACGTGCTCATGCAAAAACACCGACCACTTGCAGTGAGAACTTAAGCAATAACAATAAATTTAAAAGTTAATGTAGTGCTAGACTACAAAAATAAATTAAACCTAGCATAACTAGATGACCAGAATGTGTAGCTGCTACTAAGAATAACAGTTGGAGGACAAAATAGTGAATGCACACTTCACTAGCAAAATTGTGCTCTGTCTAACCTGTTTGATTTAAATACTTTCGTTCATCTATTTAATATACATCCTGGTGAGGAAATGCAAGGAAAAATAAGAGAATTCACAAAAGGCTAAAATAAATAAATAAATAAATAAAATAAAGCTGTTAATAAAACTTTAAACAGGACATTATATCTTTCCCCATCAGAATTTAACTATCACATAAAAAGGCTTAAATGAGCCTTGATATTTAAGTTCTAAACATAACCTTGAGTTCACTTTCAGAAATTTGAAGTCTTAACTTTCTGAATTTAATTTTTACAGACAAAATCTTGTAGCCACTTTCATAACAATTCTTCTTAAAATTTTTCATCTTGACTCCTTCTAAGTACCTGTGCATCATGCACTTTAAATACTGAAATACATGTTAGAGATAACAGTTGTAATCACATTATTAGTATTTCATCTGTATGTATTTATGTTAGTATTTCTTTCTTTGGTAATTAATACTTACAAGTGTACTTGTTCCATTTTTGTTTATTAAATTATTATAAAAAGAAAATTGAAGAGTGAAACTGAAAGAAAATTAGTAAGCTACTTTATAATCATCTCTTTATTATTACAGTTTATAAATTTTACAGTTTTATAGTTCATTAAATATAGTGCTGGCCATTAAAATTGTTACACTATAAAGGAAAGAAAATGGCTAAAACTTATTTATTGTATATGTATGGAAGACGATACAAATAATCCTATGATTGGGATGGCTTTTTGGACCTGCTCATGAAAACCTGTATTTAAACAGCATTTATTAGCTACATTTGCATAAATACTTATTTCAGCCTCTGTCTTCATAAACCTCCATTAATTAAGATGACATTTATATCATTAAAGGAAGAAAGAAAAATATTTTAAACTGTAAACTAATATATACAAGTGACAAAAAATATCATGACTGGATAAAGGCAGTCATGCCACTCGGGGGATTATATTTGCAAGTGGTTTAAGGTACACAACATACAAAATTTTTATACAGAGCTGCCACCTCTGGCAGCAACAATGACTGTACCCTAGCTGGGTTTCGATTCAAATTGAGCTTGAATGGCACATATGAATACTTCATCCCAAGCAGCTCCAATAAAGAGTTCATCAATTGTTGAGTGGCTGCATGCCAACTTATTGATAAACCATGATCAGATGTTCTTAATGGGTGAGAGATCTGGAGAACATGCTGCTGGCACAACAGTCAAACATCTTCTGTATTGAGGAAGGTGCGGATAGCACGAGCACCATGCGATCATGCGTTATCATTGAAAGATTATGTCGTGCAAATAGGGTACAGATAGGGATTGAAGATAGGGTACAGTCGCAGACCTTTAACATGTCAGAAATGTAATCCCAACTGTCCACATTGCCGGTTATGTAAGGAAGAGGTGACCGGGATGTGTACTCAGTGGCAACCCATACCAGTATTTTAGGTGCCTGGGACTGCTGAGATCCTGCATGGGATTCAGTATGGCCCTCCTTGACCCACTGATTCCATATTCACTTGATAATAATGAGATCCTGACCAACATGAACATCACTGTTGTGGAACCAATGGGCTGCAATCCAGCCACATTCAAATTGTAACATGTGTCGGTAGGAATTCCTTCTTCTTATATGAGGTGTAACACAATCTTTACTCAAATAACTGATGTTCAAATGTGATTTCCATATTAGTAACTCACTGTTCAATCTTCCCATTTGTACACTAGATGTAGATGGCATTAGTCATACCTGCTTTGTGTGCATGCTCTGGAATACTAATCATTTGCATATCCCAAATGTAGTTTCTTTCATGCAGATTTAACATTTATTGCATGCTGCCTTCCTGGTGTAACAATTTTAATGGTTGGTAGTATACCTCAAATCATGTGATAGGGTATGGCATTAGTCTTTGTTTTTGTGCTTATCTTTTGCTTATTTGTCAGCTTTAAATAGCTATAGCCATGTTTATGTATATTAAATGATTTTCTATTCAGATTTCAAAATTTTAGTACTTCAGTTGGTTTATGTTAGTAAAACTCATTGTGCTACCTGTCACTTGAAAATCATACCCATTTTTTCATTTGAGACTGTAATTATTAAATATTTGATGATCCCTTTTTTCCTGGAGGGTTTTATAATACTAGTTGATAGTATTTATCACAATTTTCTTGTTATAGCTTTCTTTCATTGTAGAATTTCCTCTTAGTATTGTTATTTGGTATTATAAAGTACATTCTGGGCTTATGTCAGTAATACAAATACATCATTTGATATTAATTGTTACTTAGCAATATTGTTAATTTCATATCCATAGTATTTTTAAGATACTTCAAAATTTTTAAAAATGATAGTTTTGTTTTAAAATGTTTGCTTTTGCTTAAAATGTTTCATGTATTTGTTTGTGTTGGATTCCTTACTTGTCCAGTGTTTGTACTCTGTATAAAATGTACGATTGAATTATTGATACAATATAAAATAATATACATTCTATGCATTCCAGTTTCACATTAGATTTTGATCTTACATTAAAATATTTCTCATTAGTGTGTCATGACATTAATGCTTTCTCTTAATTTAGTATAATCAATGTACCTTTTTTTTGATTTTCTTTCTTATCAAATGATGTGGAATTAATATTATTTTAAAAATTTGATTTGGATATAAACTGCATTTTGAACAACAGGAATATTGATGTGAGAAATGCATCGATAATGTGTATATTTACTGCGTCTCTTTCAGTTTTTTTTTTTTTTTGAACAATTTGTAAACTATGAATATTGAGGAGAATGTAAATTATAGTAATAGCCCTGTTTTGTAATATGTAACTTAGAATTTCTGATTATTTTAATGATGAGTAGTTTAAATTGTAGAGTGGTTTAAATTATAAACATTTATTGCTCTTTAACACTTTTTTCCACATTCAAAGTAAAATACAAAAGGTTTGTATTTCTTTCACTACTCGAAGTTTTAAAATGATGTGGATCGGCAATGTGGACAGTTGGGAAACCGGCAATGTGGACAGTTGGGAAAGCTATCCATTAACATGTCATAGTTTGTTATCCATTAACATGTCGGATAGTTAAACTGGAAAGTATAATGGAAATAAAACTGTGCTGCTTATTTTAAATTCAAAACAGTGTATTAAAATTCAAATTGAATTAAAAATACAAATTTAACATTTTTATTAAATCTTGGCTTGATAAGTATTTGGGAAGCAAAAGTAGCTAGTTGAAGTTTAATTCAATAAATTTAACCGACAGGCAAGGGAAGTAGAATGATCCTAGCCAGCCAAAAGCTTTCTTTCCAAGTTTAAGAACTCTGTGCATATTTATACATTTAACTAATGTAACTGGTAGGAACTGATGGAAGTAAGTGAAAGTGCAGGCAAATTAATAACTGGTTAATCAACAGGAAACCGTATAAAAAATAAGTAAACTCCTCAGTTATGAATGCTGAAAGAAAAATTAACTACAATTATCCTGTTTCACAAATATAAACTTATAAATATAAACATTGTATAATGATATTTCATTCATTTTCACAATCCGTGATATTGCCAAGTAGTTTAAATTACAAAAATCTTTTTTTTTTTTTTTAAATGGGCTAATTTTTCTTAACACTATTTTGGTTATTTCATGTATTCTTTATAGTCTGCATTTAGAAATGTTATCTTAACATCACATTACATTTTGGTTTTTATTCTTGAAGTCATAATGATGCTGAAAAATCCCCCCTCCTTCCCTGAAAGTTTTGCTTTAATGCTAATTCATAATCTGTGTTCTATTATTCTTTTTTTTCCAGATTATGCAATACATCATTAGGTTCCTGTGTTTTTTAGGAATAAAACCCAGTCTGTTTTTGTTAGTATGTTATTATTATTACTGAAATTGTGATGTGAAAGCATTTAAAGTACTCTTTCTGAAAGTTATAATGGTAGTCCTTCTTCCTACTATATTTACATGGATATCTTATGCTTTACCGAGTGACATCACATTTCTTTTAAATAACTGAGGTTTCTGATTAAATTTGAAACATAAATTATTTTATGCTTTGCAGAGCAGCAACATTTTCTTTTTAAATCACTGAGTTTGTTAATTAATAATTCATTAAACAAAGCATGAAATAAATTTTAAAAAAACTTGAAATTCAAAATTTGTGCTTTACAAAGTACAAATGTTTGGGTATAGAACTTATTTAAAATTTTGTGATTCTAGGTGTGCCATCTTTACACAATGCAAGAAACATAAATTCTTCATTATTTAATAATACATACATAAATAATTTATAAATTTCAGTAATCTTATGGTAATTTTTAACATTCTTTCTCTGCTGTCTTTCAGGGAGGAGCAGAAAATAAACTTCCAATCTTAATATCTAGAATATTTAAAGATCAAGCTGGTGAGCATTATTTTTAAACTTTGGAACTAAAGTTATGTTAAATATGCAAAATACTATCTTTTATCATTTATTATTTTTTGTCATTAGAACTTTTCGTCATTAGTATTTATCATTTTTTTTTTCCATTGAAGGAATTAAAAAAGTATTTTGTATGTTTGTATTATAAATAATTTTTAGCCATTTAATTATGTTGAGTACCCATAATACCTTAAATTTTGGATGCTTAATAAGATCCTTTTTAAATTGTTTTACTACAAATGATGTTGTAGAAAGTTTGCATGTGTATTTTTCTGTTAATACTTGTTGTATCAAAAATTTGGACTGAATAATTTGAGTTTAATATATTTCAGAATCTCTTGCGATACTATATATTTACAAGTTTTGTTGATAAATTGTTTATTATTTAATCAAAACATTTTAATGGATTTTTAGGATTCAGGAATCTGTTGCTAGCCACAATTTGAGCTTTTTCATGAAATATTTGCAAATTAAAGTGATATAAAAATGAAGAAATATTTTCAGTAGTTTGTACGAAAAATTAGTATGAAAAAAATCTATTAAATCATAATAAATAATGTATAAAATTAAAAATAAATTAACATATAACCAATAATAAAAATTTGATGAATTCACAGCATGTATAAAGTAAAATTAATGTGTATATGCAAAATGATACAAAATTATCTGTAGAAACTGTAGAGATAGGTTTAATATTCGCTAACAAATTGTATTCATAAAGAAGGTGTGTCTAAAAATATCACCCAAAACTATTGGAAGTAAACGAATGAAGAAAAATTGCCATATGACACAGAGCTTGCAAAGTTCTTTTTTGAGTATTAGTACATATCTCACAATGCTGAATGTTTGTACCTGGAATATAAAGTTATAATTAATTATAACAAGGTAAGGGAAGTTCATTTTAGTGGAATTTTATAAATTATACCTTTCGATGATGTTCTTGTCATATGTATTTCCTTGTTTGTGACGTCTCCTTAAGAAATAAGAGCAAACATTTCAAAATCTTTAAATATGTTCTTTTGTTATAGTCTTAAATATTTATGTTCATAAATATATTCATGTCTATTAAGTGATATATAGATGCACTGACCTTTAAAACATAAGTTCACTGCTTATATTAAATTTTTTATATTTATATTTTTCTAATAAAGATCTTTTGGATTAAGAAGCTGATGTAATGATATTGATAACATGATGCCATAATAATAATAATTTAATTATGTATGAGATATTTGAGATATTTTTGTTGGTCATACTGCTGAGAAGCTTTGAAAAGTTGTCTGCTCATGATCTGATGCATTTAACATATTCTATATGTATTAATCAGTTGTTTAGATTATTAGTAAGGTTTTTAGTAAATAAAGAGAAATTACTTATTACATATTGGAGAAAAATTATAACTCAGTACTTTTGACAATTAGACGTTTGAGCCTCCAAATTGTATATTAGTTAAGAATCAATTGTGATATTGAATTATGTAAACAAGGTTTAAAATAAAAGTATTTGATATTTCTGATAATATCATTTTATATCAGTGTGCAATTGATTTGTTTGTTTTTCATTGCTAGCTGATCAGACAGGAGACCTTTTTGTTGGGGATGCCATACTAATGGTAAGTTAACTGAGAAAATTATTTTAAATTTATATTAGGGATGATGGGGGTACTTAATCACTTAGGTCAGGGGTCTCAAACTCAAATTGCATGCAGGCCATACTCATAATCTGAAAACAGCTGATGGACCAGGATTTTTTTCCCTATAATGAAAAGTTTTATTAATAAAATAAAAGATATTTAAAATAAATTATAAATTTTGCTCACTTTGCTGATGACATCTTGTAATTTAAGTATATTGCCAGCTAAATATTAAATTCTTAAACTAACATTTCTTTCAAATAATTCTAACATGTTTCATTAGCCATTAAGTAATTTAATTTAAACTAAAAGTAAATAAATTATGAAAACTTCATTAAGTTTTCTGAAAAATGATTCCTTGCGAGACAAAATTTTAGAATATATAATGACGACCTATTCTCTTATTTACTAAATTTTCCTTTGATGCATAAATAAATGTAATTATACACTTCTTTATTTCTTGACAACTGATGGCGTTTCAATTCCAATAAAGTTTATAACCTTGGAGAGAACTTACAAGAAATTACCTTCATTACGGATTGTAGGTGCTTGGCGGTCAGTCAGATTCTTTTCTTATTAGCTTTCAGTTGTGGAGAAAAGCTGTTAACAAATAATTTATTTTACAAATGCCAAACATTAGCACTTAAGCCATTAGTTCATGGGATCTCAGGGTTCGTATGGTCCTTAAGAGTCCTTAAAAGTGCTTAGATTTTTTGGAATAGATTTTTGGTCCTTAAAAGTCCTTAATTTTGGCCAAAATCAACAGAAGGTCCTTAATTTTAATCATCTGAAATTTCTGTCTGTTTTATGACTGTCATTTTGAGTGTGAATTATCATTTTGAGGAATATTTTTGGCAATTCACTGCCGTCTATATGATAATCTTTTGAATGGGTTCAGGAGTAATAATTTGTTTCTATTTCTAATATAAATGATAGGATACTAGAGTTTCTAAGCAAGAAGTGAAACATAAGCATTTCGAAATTCATTTTTTCTAGTAAAGAGCTCTTAAACAACTTTTTGCTTTTGGGGATGTGAATTCTTTTGTTAAACGGTTCTAAATTTGGCGACTTTTCAACATTTTGGCGATTTTAAGATTAGTTTCTATAGAAACTTTTTAATTCCAAAATCTGAGAATTTTTCGACGATTTTTTTTAAAACATCGTAACATTGATAAATTTTATTAAAATAATGGTAATATATTGAAATTATATTTAAAAAATAACATTAAAATAAAACATTTTTATTTTTCGCTGTCATATTATAAAGTTTCATTTTTGGCAAGTTATACAATATTTTAAATCTGAAAAATAAACAAAGTATAATGCTATAAAGCACAATTTACAAAACAGCTCTTAGCAAAAGCAAAATTAGCTATGTAAGTAATTCAAAATGTCTTGTTTTTAATTAATGTCTTGTTTTTAATTAGTAAGAGTTTTTCCCGTGTAATTGTCTCAAAATATTCAAAATTCTCAGAATGTGCATCAGTTTTCTCTATAAAATTAATTTTATACTTTTTCCCTCCTACTTTTTTCCAAAATATTTCTGGCTTTTTTCTGTTACAGAAATGGTGGGGATAATTTTTCTTTAGGATTTTAGACATTTCAGCTTGGAAAGTTTAGAAGGATTTGAAGACAAGATTTATAAACCCACGATTTTAGAAGATTCGAGAAATATTTGACAAAATGAAAAATGTCTCCATGGTATCAACACATAGTGGATGTATTTTACAGAAAGTTTGCAATGAATTTCTTAATTTTGGGAGAACATCTGGAAAAACAATGAAAATATGAATGTATTACTTCTGAATGTATTACTTCTTTGAATGTATTACTTCTGATACTAGAATCTTAACATGTTCATCTTCTCTTTATTTTCTCTACTTTTCACTAGACAGAAGCATGGAAAATATCAAAAATGCTTCTGATCTTATCACATGGGCAGGCATTACAGAAAGGGATTTTTTTATTAATAAAGAAATTGAAAACTTACAATTTAAAAGATTCATCTAATATTTCTTAATGCATCATACACATAGCTGGCACTAGGCATTTTCCCACCTGATGCAATCTCTGTGGATCCTAAATTCTGCTGCCTACTGCCTTTCTAAATTCTGCTTCCAATGCTTGCTCTAAATTCTAAAAATTTCGCCATTTCTAGATTTTGTTGTTCGGTGTATCACTAAATTCCAGAAATTCTGCCACATTAGCTCTGTAACCGTCCGTTACTATATATATTTCATATTGCTTCTGAATGTTCATATTACTAAAGAAATAAAATTAGCAGCTTTTTTCTATACATTCTAAATGGGTTTAGTTATTTTTTAAGTATAATAAACGGAAAATCCTTAATTAAATCCTAAAATTCTAAAATGAAAAGGAAACATGTTGCAGAAAGAAACTGAAGTACATAAAGAAAATTATTGTCCTCAAAGATATGTGCAGTTATTATGTAAATTACCCAATTGTTTACGATTTCAACCTTTACTATAATTTCCCATTTCTATTTCCTCATATGATAGGGTTATTGAGTCAGATTAAATTACAATTAAATTGTATAATCTTTGACCACTAGTCCACATTATTAGTTTGAATTTGACTGTTCTTGTTTAATTACGTCACCGTGAGCTGTAATTGATTTTCTTAGCATCAAAACATGCCTATATGTTCTAAGTTCTTTTTAAGTAAGAGGCTTATTTAAACCTATGTCTGATATTGTAGTTAATTTCAGATATAGCGATAATATGCTTCACGTCTGTCGGGTGTTTTGGACTTATTAACTTTTACCAGATCAATTAAATCCTTATAGGTACATTATGGAGAGGTTGACAAGTTAGGAGATAAAGCATGCAGAAACTAGTGAAAGCATTAGTTTGCATATTGAGACAAATCTCTAATTGTTAGAAAAGATGCTTGAAAGAGAAGGAAATCGATATAAACGTTCAAATATGACCAACTGTCATAAGTGTAAAATATTTAAAGCTACTTGATAAATTGCATAGTTTATTTTATTCTCAAACTTATTAACAGTTATGTTAATTAATTCATGCTTAGTAATAATGTGTACTACTTATGGATCTATTTTATTTTTAGAATGGTATTACAAAAGTGAAATTCAGGCATAGATAATATGATCAATTGAATTTATTCAGTTCCCGTTTGCTCATAGGTCCTTAATTTTTATCATAATTGGTCCTTAAAAGTCCTTAAAAGTACTTAATTTCCGTGTGCAGAAATGTCTACGAACCCTGGATCTCCAGTACTTTTTAACAATGTTCTTATACTGAGAAAGTGCAGTGCAATTACATAAATGTTCAAAAATCATAGACAGATTGGTGTCACACAAAACAAAAGTCACACAAAACAAAGTTTGGTTAATCCACCACTCCAATTCTGCAGTGGTGGTCTTGCAAACAGTCATGTTCAGTCAGACAGCTGAAAAGAGCCACTGCTTTCTTTCTTGGAAAACTGAAAAAGGGTGGCAAAACTATAGCAGATTTATTGTTAATGGGGGTGCACCATGGAGAGGCCTGCTACATTACACCCTGTAATAATATTTTAGTAATGTATTTGCAAGCAAAGTAATTATTCGCAGTAGAAAAATTCATAAAAAAATTTACATTGTAAATTAATTTGCACCAGCACCATTTATTGATTTTCTGGGTGTTATTCATGTTCATTTTTAATGGTAATGAAAATAATATAGACTTGAAAGTCAAATAATTAACATCTTGAAATCTAAATACTTAATTGAATGGTCTTCACGAGCTACATGAAATTACTTCGGAGCTGCATGTAGCCACAGGCTGCCAGTTTGAGACCCCTGCCTTAGGCTACTTGAAATGAATAAAAATAATAATATAATAATAATATAATACTAATGAATAAAAAGTGTACCAAAATTACTAGAATGTATATGGCTAAATATTTAAACTGTATCTTTTCACAAAATCTGATAACATGTAATTATTTCCAGAAGTTTTAACATGAAAAGGGTTTTGTTAAATGTAGGAAGTTTACTTTTCGGACAAGTAAATACATTTGATGTTATTATTTCCTATTATATGCAAATTAAGAATTTTAATTTTACATTATCGTAAAATGCTGTCCTAACATAATCTCTGTACTAAATTAACTTTGTTTATTATCCAAAATAAATTTTTATTTAAAAGAGTAGGTGTATTTGACCTCATTCTTTTGAGGATACATGAATCCTAGGGATAGATTTTGTCTACAAGCAAATTCATGAAATGAAATGAAACAGTAATATAAGATTCAGTTCCATATAATGCATATAGAATACAACTGTTCTTAATTTGTCAGAATTTTTTTTTAAATACTAAGATTTATGTATTTTTTGCATAATAAATGGAAATTGTAATACTATTCCTAACACTAGATATAAAATTAACAAAGATGGAAAACTATCAAGGAAACTAATCATTATATATGACGATGTACAGTTTGCACGTGCAAAGCAAATATCTGATCAAATTTAAAAGCCAAGAACAGAAAATTACAAGATAGGTGATCAAATGACAATGATGTGTAAAGTTTGCACAATTCAAGAAAAGATAAATTTATTCTAATTAATTTAATGAGCTTAAAGAAATGGAATTAGGTCATTCTTTCCTGAATGTGAGTAATTTTGATATAATATCTCTGTGAAAAGGTGTTGGTGTGTTGAGAATATGGCAAAGCACACTAGGGCTATCTGCCTAAGGGGAGGGATGCCTTTCGTGGAGGACTTTCTAAGGGAAACTGGCTCGTATACACATTACACATGGGGAAAACCACGAAAACGCCCATGCAGCCAGCCCGTTCGCAGGATTCGAACCTCGGACCGAACTACCAGTGTTCAGCGATTTTACCGCTCAGCCGCTGGTGGGCCTGTGAAAAGGAAATTATGCATTGTGTGGGTCAAATATAAGAGTAGTTAGGTTTTCTGAATATGAAATTGAATTTTCAAGAAGAAAAAAAAAATAGCATTAATCATTTACTCCCCTAAAAAGGTCAGTAAAAGTATAGTTAAAGAGAAAGACTGGAAAATTTCCCAATCCAGTCATCTTCAGAAGAGCCTTAAAAACTGCTACAACTATAAGTTTTCAATTTAGTTTTTCAGTGCTGGAAAAATTCTGCTAAATTTTAGTGTCATCATTTTCTCAAGTTTCTTAAGTTGCTGCTTTAACTGATGCAATTGCATGCTCCTTTTTTTTTTTTTTTTAATGAAATATTTTCTTTTTTTTAAAATAATTCTAACTTTAGTTTTATTTATACATTCACATTCATATTTTTTTTTGCTTTTCACATTCATTCATTATTTTTTGAAGTTTTATAAAAGATGTTTCAGGCCTACTTCAAAACATAATTAAGAACTGAAAATTAAAAGGCTAAATTATTTAAAATGTGATAAATTATAATATATATACTATATAATGCTTGTTTTTATAATGTGGAATTGGCCTTTTATTTAATTAATTTATTTCCAGTTGATAATTTTCTTCCATTTTTCTGTCTTATGCTTACTAATGCAATGTGGAGTTGGATGTTTTGTGTCACTTATTCAGTCTACTAATACAATATGGAATTGATATTTTGTGCGACTTATTTATTTCCAATTGCTTATTTTCTTTTAGATTTCTAACTTACCTATGTTTCCATTTGTCTAAATTTTAAGTACCATTTCATAGTTTATTAACAGTATTTCTGTGCAAATTATCTCAAAGTAACACTCTTCTTTTGTAGCTGTATATAAAACCACATTTGTATTAAAATAGCAGTTTCAGAATAAACTTTGGTCTGATTATTATATTGATTAAGTGAGTCTGATGCAGTCTCTAATAAAATCAAATATTTTGGTCATGTTTTAATCAAATGTGTATATTATTTTTAATATAAAGCTAGAAACTATGCGAGATTAATAAAGTAGAGAAGGATATAGTTTGAATAGCTTAAAAGAGCTACAAATATTTTAATTAAGTGAAGAGAAAATTAAATATGATAAAAAAGTTACTTGTCATAAATACGAGTATCATGATTTTTTTTAATCTCCTCGTTGAGCTGATTTTATTTAAAGTGTTGTCAGTCTATTGCAATTTATTTATTTTTTGTAAAGAATTTTTTTTAGAAACTATTTTAAAATTTAGTATACTGTAATTTCATTAAATTCCTGTATTTTTGTTTATAACACTGTATGTGTTTCACATAAAATATTTAATGCGAAATCTGTTATAAGACTACTATTTCTTCAGGTGAATGATATAAGCCTTGAACGTATCAATCATGATGATGCAGTGAATGTATTACGAACAGCGGGAGATGAAGTGACTTTAAGAGTAAAGCATTACAGAGCAGCTCTTCCATTTCTAGCAAAAACCTGTAAGTGTTATATTAAGTTCAATATTTTGTGTTTTTCTTTTTGAAATAAGTTTTCTTTTTGAAATAAGTGGTAAAAAACTAAAGTAAACACAATGTACATAAAATTAAAATATGATAAACATAATAACAAATTAACCCTTTGACGCGTGGTGGTCGCGCCTTGAAACCACCATTTTCCGAATTTTTTTCCTCCTCTTTTTTCCGAAATTTTTGAGTGAAAATGAATTGATTACTGATATTTTACATTTAAATAACAAAAAATGACTGTAGAATCATATATGTTTTAGGTATTAATACTTCAGATTGGATGCCTTTTAAAATTTGTTTTCGATGAGATAAAGTAACTTCCTTTTATTGATATAAACAACTTTAAATTTCAAAAGTTAGTCATTGCACATCATGATTTCTATCATAAACAATAAAAAAATTGCAGTAATTAAACTGCATATATATAAGAAAACCTCTTTATGTATGACATTTGCTATGTGGTTTCAGGGTGCGACCACTGCACCACTAGAGCATTGTGTCACAATGCTTACAATCCTCTAGAGGCTCTGTGGTCGCTCCTTGAAACCACTGGTGTTTGCTTCTCAATGGCGTTCGCTTGCTTTTCAAATAGGAATGTTTATTTTTACCCGGATATAGATAAAGGGCTTTGAAACAACAGAGTTATTTTATTACTAAACAATACATGCACCTGCCCAGTAAAAAGGTCTTTCTATTCCAAATACTTTTCTCTGACATAAACACACTTGCTCCCCAAGCTAGTATTGTGATTTTATAAATTATTTTCTGTGGTTTAAATTTAATTTAAATATACTTTGCTATAATTAAAAATAGAAATTGCATAAAAGTTTTATTTAAATTGAAAATATTTTCTGAATATTTTTGGACGAAATACGAATAAAATAAGTATGAATGGGAAACGAACGATCCAAAGCCAAAAAGACCAAGCCTCCCCCCCCCCATTAACATAAAAAAATACAAATTTCATGTGCCAAATGAAAAGAAACTAAATAACGCTGGACATATACCAGTGAAATTTACATCCAGGCAGTGTACATTTTGTAGCACAAGGAAGAAACCTCATAGAACAAGATGTATGTGCGAAACGTGCAACGTGGGTCTATGCATGTACCAAAGAGACAAAACATGCTTTGAACAGTGTCACAAAAAAAATTTGTTCTTTGAAATAAAAAAAAAATAAAAATAAAAATAAAATAAAAAAATAAAAAAAAAAAAAAAAAAGCTGAGTTCTTTTTATCTTTATTTTATTGAGTTTTTTAATCCATTTATCCAAATGTCCTTATTATGTAGGTACTTATCTTTTCACTGCTATAGAAAAATTACATAAATGTTAATTTTTAAATTTTTTCTGACGATTTACTTTGTAAAATAATGTAAAAAAATTATATGTAATGCAATTCTTAAGTACATTTTTTCAAAATCCATAAATTTTGTCATTTATTGGAAACGTGCGGAAAAAGGTAAATTTTTTTTTCCTACTACATCAGTAAGTTTCAAAGTCCTAGAAGCGTGGTGGTTTCACAGTGCAACCACCACCCACAGAACAATGGGCGAGAGTATATTTTTTTAATTCATATATTATTTGTCTCGAGGATCATAATATTCAATTTCTAGAGTTTTTAGTTAAAAAAATTATAAAAATAATATCGTACGCATCAAAGGGTTAAAAAAAATCCTTAGTGCAAAAGGGAGTTGTGTTATTATTTAATATCATAAAAAAAGATTTTTGATTTTATTTATATAATGTTTATCTTTTTTAATCTGTCTCTTTTGTGTTTTATTAACCTAATCTAATTTTTATGGCATTTTTGAAGAAGTAAAAGAGAAATAGAAACACATTTTTAAAATAAAAAGAAGGTATCTTATCAATGTTTATCGTATATAAGATATAAAATTTTCAGCAGTTCGATTTTCTAAACTTACATGGTTTGCCAAAAATCTTGTAAAATTGTCAAGAAAAACTGTAGAAGAAAGCCTGTAAAATTTGGTACTAACATGATAGTCTGTAAAATGGTGCAATTCATAAATTGGAGGTTTGTAAGAAGGTAAATTCATTGTATGCGCTGCTGTATGTCTTGAATACAATGAAAATATCCATTTTGACTATTCTTTAATCCATTTGAATGATCTTTTTGATTAACATCTGTACATATGGACTGAATAAAGGACTCTTTTTTCCAAAATGGATTATAAAATAGATTTAAAATGGATTCAGAAGAGATTTTTTTCGTAATGTCTGTATGTATTTATATATCTCGCAAAACTCAAAAATGAGTAGCCGTAGAATGTTGAAATTTTGTATATGAGACTGCTGAAACATACAGTTGTGTGCCTCCCTTATTAGTTACAATTGGCCACATCAAAAGTATATATACATATATATCTATATATTGTTGCGTTTCTACACGTGTTTGTGAGTTTGGAGTGATTGACGAAGACACTTGATGAAGTATCAAAACACGTTTTATTAGCCAGTATTGAGGACACTTCAAAAAGTACATTCGTACAAGTACAAATGGTCGTCAAAAAACTACGACTAACACGCTGAAACAATCAGCAACACAGGTTTCAGGCTATCAGGCTTTGATGTTGAAGACAGCTTCATGGCAAAGCACTAGAGTACAGTTCCTAACTCAGTTCAGTCCTTCTCGGAACTCCAGCCGTCAGGCTATAATGGTGAAGAGAGCTTCATGAAAAAGCACCAGGTTACAGCTCCCGGCTTGGCTTGGTCATTCTTGGAACTCAACGTACGAAACTCCATGCTACAACTCGCAATATACTTGACAATGCACTCACTAGACTCGCAGTACTCCGACAACTAATAGAGGACCAACTCACTAGACGAGGCACTGACTAACTTACTCTGCAGGCAGGCAGGGTTTATAGCTTTTGGGCTGCCTTCGAGAACATTCTGGTCCTAACCAGTAAGAATTCAATACGGAACGTTCTCCATCTGTCTAGGCATATTTTCAGTTTTGTTGCCAAATGGGAGATTTCTCGCCAAATATGGCAATCCTAAACCCATTTTGCAGAGAAGCTATCTTACTGCGGCTGGACACTGCCCCTTCCTAAGGACTGCACCGCCTGGGCAGTAAAATCCTTGGTCAGAAGCCAAATTTGATACAAAGAAAATGTAAGAAAACAAACAAATAACATAATTAAAGAAACAATTATTTACACTATGTACAAGTTATATACACAAATTAACCACATAACAATTTTAAATTATATAAACTTTAGAATGAATTTCAGTCTCCTCCGGCTTTTCATTAAGTTATACCTGAGTCAAATACTCTTTCTTTGCAGTTCTCGTATTTTTGTTCTGCATATCACAGTTCATCCACAGACAGACTCATCTACGGGAAGATCTAAAACAGTCTGTTCACCTCTCTGCGGTTTATTCGCATCATGTGTACAGTTTACCTCGGTACTTTTAACAGTTGGTACATGCTTATTTACCTCTATTTCCAGGAAACCAGTTCTGTTGTTTGCATCAGAGTTATAAATAGAATCCAATTCTTTACAACCAGAAGTATCGGGTTTAGAATGAAGTCCATGTCTGCACAACCTGCACTATGAGGCACACACCAGTTTGTGAAGTGGGTCTATTTTCTTGCAGTACTATAACACACTGCTTAAGCTGCACATCAGCTTCTCCCACCTCTGCATCACATGCAGTTTCAGCTATTTCAATAGTTACTGACTGCGACTTCGTAACTCCACTATCATTTTCTGTGAACTTAACAGTCGCATTTTCACTTTCTTTGATCTCTACTTCAGGCACTTGAGAATCAGGAACTTTGTTTTTATGAAGTATTTCTTCACCTTTTTCAGATGCTTTACTAGCTATTTCTTTTATTTCTACATCTTTACAAACAGTATTAACACTTTCTTCCATTTCTTCTTCAGGCACTTAAGAATTAAAAGCTTTTTTCCCCGTCTTTCATTTCTTCACCTTTTTGTTCTCTTTCCTTAATCGTTTTAGATGTTTTGTCCTTTGTTTCTTCTCAGACACTTCATCAGCTACTTCCTTTACTTTTTCATCAGTTGTTTCTTCAGATGCCACTATTGTCATTTCCAAGTCTCTTGATCGACTTTCATCTCTTCCGGTCCGACTTTCATCTCAGCTGTCATCTCTTTATATCCTGCTTTTATCTCTACCTTCATCTCTTTCAGTCTGCTCTTACAGCTGCTAAGAAGTTTTTGAATTTCATTTCTCCTGCAGGCGGGTCACTGGCATTCCTGGTATTCTCTCGCAAAACGCACTTCTGATACCAGTTGTTGCATTTTTGCACAGGTTTATGAATTTGGAGTGATTGATGACGACACTTTATGAAGTAACAAAGCACACTTTATTAGCCAGTATTACTCAGGACTTTTCCAAAAGCACGTTCACAGTCATAAAAAAACTATGACTAAATGCTGAAACAATCAGCAACACAGCAAACAATCAGCAATTCAGGTTATAACGGTGAAAATAGCTTCATGGCAAAACACCAGAGTACAGCTCCCAACTCGGTTCAGTCATTCTTGGAACTTGGCATACTCTCAAAACTCCACACTACAACTCGCAACACACTCAATAGACTCAACGATGCACTCACTAGATTTGCGATACTCCGACGACTTGCTAGACAATGCACTAACTGACTCACTCCTCTTGCAGGCGGGGTTTATATAGCTTTTGGGCTGCCTTCGAGAACATTCTAGTTCAAACCAGTAAGAATTCATTCCAGAAGGTTCTCCATTCGTCTATGGCATGTCGCCAAATAGGTGATTTCTCCCCAAATATGGCAACCATGCCTTCACTTGCCATTTTCTGGTAACCCTAAACCTGCTTTGTGGAGAAGCTATCTTACTGTGACTGGACATTTCATCACAATATATACTCGCACTGTTACCTGCCTTGGTGAGCTCAGTTTTTTTTTTTTTTTATATATATATATATATATATATTGGTAAATTGCATTTTTTCCTTTAAAAGTGATTGAATTATGTTGTTCTTATGTCCCAGTTAAGTTTTTTGTGACTTTAGTTAATCTGCAGGCAATTGTAGAATTATCAACAATTTAAAAGTTGTTTAAGTGCCACTAAGCCTAATGCTACAGTAGAAGTCCAGAAATCCGCAAAGCTTGGGACCAGAGGTTGTGCGGATTTTAGGATTTTGCGGATTTCAGGTCAGAAAAGATAAATCATAATATTCAGACTCAAAGTGCAAAATAAATAAGGCGTATTAGATACATTTAATTAATATTATATTATTAATTATTAATTATTATATACCATTATTGCAATAATTTATTATATGCATTAAATTATTATTACATTTATAAATTGATTATATTATTTATTGTATTATATGTACATAGCATCGAGGTTTGCTGATTTCGCCTCATGCAAAGATTTCCGGTTTCAGATTCCGGTGTTAGAATCACTGAGGCTGTAAAATTTCAACAGCTTTTCTTTATTTTTCCATATATCATACACAATCGTGTCACAATTCCATACGGTTCTGCTATAAACCGAGGAGTGGAACCTGCCTGCATCTTTTGCAAAATTTGCACTTTGGTTTACTATATTTTTATTTTTACCATATTTGATGTTTAGGTTTTTCTGTATTTTACAGTTTTTATTTTTTGCCTTTCTGTGATGTGAGAACTGAATTGATAGAATTAGAAATATATCTCTAATGAAATTCGAGGAAATAAGTTTAAATGAAATGTGCAAAAAATGTGTATAATGGGTATTCCCTACAAGGAAGTCATGTGGTATCTGCATCAGAAATTTTAGTTTTGTAATCTTTATTTCTAGATTTTTGTTTTAAAAAAAGTTTATAGTTATTGAATAGAAAATTGGTAGAGGGTGGACTGACATAAGATTTGTTATGAATGATTAGTACTTATTATATGCAGATGGCTATTACTGAAACCTCTCATGCATGCTTCAGTAAAATTAATGCCAAAGAAGATTCATTATATAAATTTGCTTTATTTATATTTAGAAGACACATTTTAAAATGTGTTCACATTCATGTTTATTTCAGTGCAGAGGCCAAAAGAGAGACCTGTGTCTGGAGAAGATCCTACCTATAAACTGAAAGATGAAGATGATGATTGGAAAGCAGTATGTTAATGAAATTATGAAATTTTTAAAAAAAAAATCAGGTATTATGGGAAAAAAGCATGTTACAGGATTTTTCTTTTATATCATCTGCATTTAAGAAACAAAAAAGAATATAAAATAATTTATGAATTTAAACTTAAGAGAAAAATATGAAACACAAATGAAAAACATTTTAAAGCTAATATTGTCTAGTTTGTTTGATTTACTCTTTTCCATAAATGAAATTTTGACTCTTTGAGGGATTACTTTTTTTTTTTTGATTTTATACTTTCAGATATTATTATTAATTTTGGATTGTTTTAAAGAAGGACATTATCTCAAGTGTGCTTTAAAAACTTGTGCTTATTACAGTGTATTAAAATTTCTAATCTAAAAATTTATTTCTAAGTGTTTGAATTTATATATAAGGTACACTATAAATAAATCCAAATTGTTAAAATGATGTATCCAAGTCCATCTTCAGCATTTTTGTTGCCTCAGGCAGTTAAAAATTGAAGCTAATAATTCTGCGTGAGATATGCTTTTATTTAATTACTTTTATTCACTTGTTGACACTCTCTGAAAAATCGGTACCTAAGTCGCAGGCAAATGGGCTGGCTGCATGTGTGTTTTCATGTTTTACCTCATGTGTAATGTGAGTACCAGGCAGCTTTTCTTAGGACATTCATAAAGAGTGCATGGCCCCATTGCTCTGGTGTCCGGCTGTGATATTGCATGGGCTCATTTCATCTGCACTCAGGCATGCGATGGGGGCAAGCAAATACATACCACAGGTTGTCAGGTGCACAGTCAAACTTTATGCAGTCAATGTGACATAGTTTGCTGGAATGTGGGCTGTCCTGCAGCAGCAGAGAGAGTTGACTGACTGTTGTGCTATTAGTGATCTGTGTCTTGCACATAACAGCGGGAAGCAATAGTCTGCTGTTATGATAATCCTCTGCTGCCCAGACCCTTGTCTTCTACAGGGGTTTTGATCCCATTGGTAGTAATTCCACAGCCTATTGATAACACTACGATGCACATTTAGTACTCTCGCAACAGCAGATTGTCTTGCATTAGCTTGCAACATCCTGCCAGCCCTCCAAAGCATTTCATTGTGCAGATGGTGTCTTCTGTTTATGCTTTCTGCTTTGGCTATTTCAGATTTCATGGAACTATTGCTGCTTGTGAACTGATGTATAGGTATGGCATGCCCCTCTTTTAAAGGATTGTAATGTGACTACGGGATTGCATTTTATCCTAATTTTGGTTGCTTATTTGCATTCAATGATGCAACCTCCATCATGTATGTAAATTATATGTTTTAGTTCCCCTTTTTACATTCATCGCTTTTCTTTTAGCATTTGTTTCTTATTTTTTGCACATGAATTATTTATGCAATAATAATTTCTTCTTTTAATTTTTAGGGGCAAAAAAGCCCAAAAACTCCTCAAGGGGCTTCTAGAATGGAAAGGAGATGGGTTGATGTTATGACAATTCACTTATTAATGGCTTATTTAACACGGTATATGTTAGATACTGATAAATTAAGGTTCGTAAAAATTTATCCTTTTTGTGTTTATAAATTAATTATATAAGATTGTATCTCTCTGTTTAAGAAATGCAACATGTAAACTTTGAGTATAATTGAATTATAGTGCACTTATCATTTTGCAGTGTGTATTTCTTTAACAAAAGTAATTTTTTTTCTTTTCTCTCTCTCTCTTTAATTTAAAATTGATTGAATTGAATGAAAATTGATAGCAAGCACTCTGTATTATGCATATCTAAGTATATGTTTTTTTTTTTTTACCTTACATTGCTTTTTGAAATCCATATCGTCTAATACTGAAAAGATCAGCCATTAAAAGTAATTGCATATAATTGAAGCTAGTTTTCTGAAGTTAAATATTGTTGTGAAGTATGCGCTCATCGATATCTCTTTAAGTGATCACTCCGAAAATCAGGAAGAAATTGAAAATTATTATAAAAATAAACACATTAGCATACACAAGACAATAAAGATCTGGAAATAGCTCAAGAAGAACATAGATATTAAGAAATTCTTTCTTGAGCATGAGAAATATCATCAAGTCTGTTTCATCAGCTTTACCATCAGCTGTTTCATCAGCCTCAATTAAAATCAGTCACAGAGTAGAATCTGAACTGCATTTCAGCTAACTACAAAATCCCACAGCACTTTTGGAAAATTTTAAGGTTCCAAAATGTACATGAAATGTCATTACAATTTCAAAAATTCACTATTGGGGGGAGACTATTTTGTTGTATTGTGGCCTATATAGAAGAAAAATAATTTCTGTGCTCCTGAAAACATTTATGTGATATCATAGTTTTGAATGTAAATTAATTATGATTAATTGATGTATTATGTGCTGTAATAACAATGTTAAATAAAATATACAGTATTATATACCTGCTATGCTATTAATTAAAATGGTGTAGTGTACTGTGTTTTTCATATAATTTCAAATAAAAGTCCATATCTTTTTTAAAGATTCGACTAAATCAAATCCAAATCCTTTACTTTCTCGACTTTTTTAAAGATTCGACGAAAGTAAAGGATTTTGGTCTTAGAAGAATATAAAGTGGTGTAGGAATGCAGTAATTGTACTGTGTGGTATAATGTATTATTTCAAGGGATGATGGAATTGAAACCATTCTTTTCCTAACACTTGTGACTTCAAAAATAAAAATGAATTTAAACACTGTCTAATAAAAGAATATGAACCCTTATTTATGTTTCTTGATCTTATCATGGAAAACTTCTATCACATGTTATTATTTTTACATCCATCCTGTGAAAATGGGATCTAAGAAAAGCTTTGGAGGGTTTACTTGTAATCTGAGAAGAATCATAAAATTGTTCATGAGCCAATTTTTATCTATGCTTGGATATATTTACTCGAAGCACGAAGATAAGTGTTAATGATCATCATTGCTGGATGTGTTTGAATTGTTATGCTTCACTAACCTGAGTTATTTCACTAAACACTTTTCTTATTCGCTTAAATTTTGAAGGATAAATATGTTTAGTATTTCTTCCTTAAATTTTTGTATTATCTATGCATTCCTTCACTGACAAATTTTCTCTTTGTTGTACCACTTTTTTTATTAGAAAGCATAATATATAACATTACGAAACACGCATTATTATGCTATAAGGAAACATTATAATAAACATTAAAAACTGAAAACTCATAAAGCTAGTAAGCAGAATAATATAAAAAAATCTAGCTTAAAAATATGCCATGAAAAATGTATCAGCTGCATTTCAAAAATCATGAATGCCATTCTCAAACTCTCTCGCTTCCCTGGTTATTGGAAACATGCAATTGTCATTACTTTTCTTAAACCAAATCACTAGCACTGTTTCCCCAAACTATCAACCGATACCTTATTTAATTGGCTTTCTAAAATTGCAGAACAAGTCATACTATACAACGTTCAAATCGCGATTCCACCTTCTTCATTTCTACCATACAAGCAGTTTGGATTTAAGGTAAAACATAATACTATGCATAACCTGTTTTGCATCATTAGCACTATTACTAAAGGCTTTAATATCAAATTGCCTATAAGTGTGGTCTTTCTTGATTTTGCTAAAGCATTTGACTGTGTCTGGTACTGTGGCCTTGTTAATAGATTAATCAAACTTAATTTTCCAGGTAATCTAATTCGATTTATCACTTTTTGGGGTGACATATCATTCAGCATCTGAATTGCAAATGTATGCTTGTTGCAGAGACAAATTATTGCAGGTGTACCCCAAAGCTCAATTTTTGGTCCTTTCTTATATAACATAATTGCTCATGACATCCCACAACACACTACAGTTCAGATAGCTCTGTTTGCTGATGACATAGCTATTCTGACAGAGGGCCAGAAAATATTTACAGTTTACTTCAGTATTCTCTTGAATTATTAGAGACATGGCTTTACATCTTCCCCATAAGGGAACATGCTGCAAAATGAGATCTCTATAAAATTCAAATTCTACAAAATAATGCCCTTTGAGAAACTGTCATTATTCTGTAGTTTATAAGGTATGGCACATCATGTACTGATTTAAAAATTGAAATTATCAAAAAATGAATTTCCAAAATTGCTCTTAGTACAATATTAAACATCATCAAAGCACTCTAATTTCAATCACAAATAATGAACCAGGATGGTAAGAAAAGCACATGTACCCAGCTAATTTTCTTATTTTGTAACAATTAGCAGTTTTTTAAGGCAGTGCCTTACCATTTTCACAAAAATTTAAAAATACTTGACGGGCATCTTAGAGCCAATTATTTACAGTGGATTCTTTCTGTCTGCAAGAGCTATTTATTGGAAATTCAAATACTGTATCTTCTGATAAATTGCAGGCAACTGAAATTATGTGTTCTGAACTAATAGACATAGAGACATGCCGGTGTTTATATATTTCTAGTATATTTCAGTTTAGTTAAATTAAATTACATTGACATGTTTTCCGTATGTTTTAAAATTAATATTCAGTTAATGTTATCAAAACAACCATGGGCATATAATTATAGTAAGTGATTACATACTGTACATTACCTAAAGTGCATTGTTCAGAAATGATAGTTTAATAATGCTGTTATGTTTAATTTTCATTAGGTCCTTCTTCATTGTCCATTTAACTCTTTTAGTCTGGAATGGCTATATTTCCAGGACAGGGAAGGGCTTTAAGTGCTCATGTCTTCTCTCCCATTTTTTTAAACTAAAAGAATGGGGTAAACTATCAGCTTTTTTTTTTTTTTTTTTTTTTTTGGTGGGGTCTGTGGAGGCTTAATCACTTATCCCTTTCAAAGATCTCTCTGTTAAGAATCCAGTTTTCCCTGTTGCTCTTTTTTCATTCTTGCGCAGCTTCAGAATTCGGAACAACACCATTCTTAAATTGTAAAAAGAACCTTATATTTCTTTGGAATATTCCTTATCTTTGAGAGATTTTTTTTAGTTATTTTGCTTCATTTTATCATCATATACTGAAATGAAAAAGAAGGCTAACTGAAGTCCTCTACAAAAGTTTGTGAAGTAATAAATTATGTAACATCATAAAAACAGAATCATAATACAAGGATTCAAGATAACAACTAATTGCCTTGTAACTTCTTCCCATTCTTTCATAAACTATATATACTCCACAGTTTCCGTCCTTCCAATTTGAAAGCTTTTTGCTGAAAAAAATTGCAATATAAAATATATGGACATTTTCTGGTAAATGTCATATTTGAAGCAAACATTGTGTATTTTAAATTCCTGACAAATTTTTGCTTTTAAGCATTACATTTTCATGCAAATTTTAACACCTATTTAGACCTAAAATTTTAACTTCTCTGCAATCTACAATTTAACACTTCCATACAGTTAAAATTTTTAACCATTTCTGTAGTATTCATTTTTTTATATTTTGAACCATTCCTTCCATGGGAAAAAATTTAAAGAATCTGGATATTTTCAATAAAATATATAGAAAAACAAGCAAAAAATTACAAAGAAATATAACAGTAATTTACTTTTCTGTTTTCTGCAGTATCTGCATAGAGTTTTTTCGCTTATGAAGACATGAATGTTTGTAAATTTTAACTGCAATTTGCCCAGAAGGGCTGTTAATTGTGTTGATTCACTATAAACAACGAATCATTTTTTAAATTGTTGCCACCAAATATTAGATCACTGTATTATATTTAAAGAATGAAGAATCTGCATAAATGTATGTATGTTTCTTGCACTGTGATAAAACACCGGTACATAGAATCGTCAAATTTTGAATAAGGTACGGCTCCACCCGAATATGGGCATCTGGAAGCCCAAATTTGTAATTTGTTTTATTATCTATTTAATTTTGTAAAGCATTCATGAGTTTTTGATTAAGAAACTCAACAATTTCAAAGCTAGCAAAGGCAACACTGTACAGAAATATATATATATATCTCCAGCACTCAAGACTGTGTATTGGAAATTCTAAACATATGTTCTTTTAAATATTTTGTGATATTGCTGTTGAATTGAATTTTATGGGTGAAGTGCGAAGAACGTGATATTTAATAAATAACAGTAATACACAAAACATTAAAAAAAGCCTCTTTGGGCATAATATGAAATCTGAAACAATTTTTCATTCAATTTTTATTTTAAAGAAAGCTATGAGCTATAATAGGGTGAAACAGAATGACATTTTCTGTAATGGAAATATACATTTTCTTCTGTGTATCACAGAGTAGTTTGTTTTGGAATCAACAGCACCTTTAAATTTCTCCTTGTTTTCTCCACGAGGAGAAGCAGCCAGTAGTTTAGTCAATAATCCCTGTATTTCCTTTCCTTTTGTAAAATAAATGCATCTCTTTAACCCCTTAACTGCTGCGGATATATATATACGCCTTGCTCAGCCGATGCGTTAACTGCCCCAGGCGTATATATACTCCCTTCCAAACTTCTATCATTTGCTTTGGGCTGCTACCCCTAAAATTATTTTTAAAACTTTGGAATGCAACACCACAATGACCTTGACAAAGTATGTGAAGGAGGATACTATTTCAGAAAAGTGTAGGGACAAATTGGAGAGAAGGGTGTGTCTAAAGTGCTGAAAGTAATGACTGTGTGGTATTGGCTGGTGTTGTTTGAGTAAAACGTATTTTTTTTTAATTCTGTGTACTCCGTTTTTGTAGTAGGTTCCAGAAATAAAGAAAGATATAATGGATGTTTCAAACCCATTTATCTTTTTTGGATTATTTTTTGATGAATTGCTCGTGCTTCATATTGTTACTGAAACTAACCGTTTTGTAGGTGAGTATATGAATCAACACCTTGCAAATGAAAAATCAAGAACAAAATTGGGGCATTCAACCAGTTCAGAAGAAATATATGTTTTTTTAGGCATACTGATTTCACAAGGTATAACTCATGAATACATGAGCCTGATAGTACACTTTACTGGTCTAAAAAGGAATTGATCAAAACTCCATTTTAGGGATCTTTTTTATTATAAAAAACATCGTTTTTATTATACTTACATCTTTTTATTATACTTTTACTCAAAACATTAAATTTTATGCATTAATTTTTTTTCTGTTATTCTTTATTTTGTGAAAGTAAACAGTTTTTAGAAAGTAAAACTTACACTTATTTCCCCCCCTAATACATCGCATAACTACGTGCACCTGTGTGAAAAACTGTATCTCTGGGAAATGAATCTTGTACGTTTTCTGGGGCAGTTAATGGGTTAAGGATGAATCAAAATAGCTAAAAGCTCCATTTTTGCAAATAACAAAGAAACGTCTTGAGAAGGGAGAAAACATAATGTACCCTCCCCACCCTGCATCTTTTTTAAGAATCTTACAAGTGTCAAATTTCTGAGCTTAAAAGATTAAAGACCTGAAACTGTTGTTTAGTATTTTTGTTATGTATTCTTGTGCAAATAGTTTTGTATTCTTTTCATTTAGGCCAAATGCATTTGAAATTCGAAGCCAGGAAGGTAAGCCTTCAGCTGTAGTTCATTGTGATGATGCAAGTATGCTATCAGAGTGGATCAAGCATATTTCTAGTAACATTTTGCAACTAACAGCACAACAAGTATGTTTGAATTTGATAACAGAATGATAATAAAATATCAGCTTCAAATCAAAGTCATGAATCCACAAAACATGTTGCTTTGAGAAAAAGATATTATACGTTTAACACATACTTAGTTTTATGAAAGATTGTACTGGATGTTTCATATTGAATGGGAAAAAAAAGAGAGCATACCTGTGAATGCTGTAATTACTTTATTTTGATAAATCGAATTTGCAGTGAAACTATAGTTATCCAAGTTTCGATAAATGTTCTGTGTGTGCCTCTCCAGTGACGTGGCAAATACCTATATGATATTCCAGTTCCTGCCACACTCGTGATTAGAATATCCTTTGTTAATAATTCAAGGACTTCAGTTAGCCACTGCTTCAGTTGCTGTATAAGCCTTGGGAAAATGAAGTTACAAACATCTTGTCGTTAACAAAACCCCATAGGAAGAAATCACATGGTGTTAGATTTGGAGATTTTTGTGGCCAACAAAGCAATGGCATATCGTTTGACCCAGCTCGTCCAAACCAGTGAAAAGGTAGACTACTTTTTAAGTACTAGCCTATATTTTTATGTCAGTATGGGGAGAATGAAGCGGAAACCACTTCCTTTAACTGAGGGAACAACTACTCTGATAGTATATTAGTAAATGCACCTGTTAATGAATTTTTCCCTGAAGGAAAAAAAGGACCAGAAATACAACTGTTGAAAATGATGCAGAAAGCATTCACGTTTGGAGAATCATGCTCATGTTGCATTACACAAGTGGATTTTCCATGCTCCCAAATCATAAATTATGGCAATTTGTCAGAAATATGAAAAGTGTATTTATGCATAAACACATGTCTGTTTATGAAACCATCTACCTCCAGCTTATCTTGCAAATTCTCACAGAAAGCTTTATACAACGGTTTGTCGGAAGGTTTCAATGCCTGCGCCATCTGAAAGGTGTATGGCCAGAATTGTAGAAATTTCCATAACACATGCCACAGTGTTACATGAGGCACTTTCAGTTCAGAACTCACACAATGCGATGATTTTGTGGGACTTCAAAAATACGTTTCACAAGTTTTTTTCAACCATTTCAGTTTTAGTTGCCATTTCTTCTGGCTTGGTTTTCTTACATAAGAAACTGTCCAGAAACTGTTTCACCCACTGTTTAATGTTGAGACGATGCAGACAAATCAAATTTCATGCAAAAATTGGACAATGATAAATTATGATGCTTTGCCATATTCCAAAAAACAGACTACGCTTTCTCCTGCATGGATGGCACCATTTTGATTAGCAGTGCCTCTAGTGGTAATTTCATAACTGGAAAATTTTTCACGGTTTCCAGATAAAACTTTTATAAAGTTTTAGAATTAATTTGTTTTAGCTTAATAAATCAGCTGTAAAATTTGTACTATGCTATTCTTTTTGTCCTGTCCTTTTCAGTATGAAACACCCTGTATTATAATGGATTATTTCTCATATTTTCATCTCATAGAATTCGCATTTCTCTCTTTTGAAATGGTGTCAATGAATGAGCTTTATCACAGAATATAAATGCGACTTTAGGTTGATAACTGTAGCACGGTATCAGCCGTATAATTTAATACCTTAATTTAAACATGTTTACTTATTATTCAGGAGTGGTTGTTATTCCTTTCTATACTTTGTAAGGTACTTTACAAAATATGACATTTTTATAATTTTCTTTTTTTGAGGAAAGGGTAACTGAGCTTGCTTAAATTTAATATTATTCAATTTCTGTTTATTTTACATTTATTATTTTGTTTGATTTAGAATGAAGCTAATATATGCTTTTTATGTATATTTATGTTTCTAAGACTATTGTTTTTAAATATTTCCTGTATCTGTGCATCTAAAGTTACATTTTTCAATCCTTTTCTTCAGATAAAAACTTTCAACGAAACTTTACCTCAATCAGATCAGGTATGTTCCTTTTTTTAAAATGATTATATTTTATTCTGGATAGCTAATATTAATTATAAGTTAATAATGCAGGCAACTAAATTTGTTAGAAAATATATTTTTGGTGTTGGAACTGAAAATAAAAGAGATTCTGTTAACAAATGCTTTCAGTTTCTAGTATTTTAAAAGTTTATTCAAAAGTAATATTTTTCAGTTTTGTATGAATAATGTATCTAATAATGGCAATGTAGGAAGGACTAGCTAGAGCTTAAAATCAAATATTAGTTAACATTTAATTGACATCTAAATAAGGAAACAGGGACATTTTAAATCAAGGGTGTTTAATTTGGATAATGAAGATTTACCAAAGTATTGATATTTAACAGTACTTTTTACAGGCATGTCTTCTTCAACATCTTTTCAGCTTCTCATTTTTATTTCTCCTGGCATTTGCATGTCTACTTGAAATACAGTCTGAAAGATTACATTTACTTTGATCCAGCACCCACAGTAATGATGTTAAAAGAATGTTCTGGCTTTATATTTGATTTTAAAATGCATTAATAACAAAAATATTTTTCTATTAAATTTTACCATTATTGGATTCTGTAAATGATTGATGTTACCATTGTTGATTGATAACTTTGTTGCATTCTGTAATGCAATGATTTTTGTGCTTTGCTACAAAATTTAATTGTTTGACATTGTATTCATATTTCTGATAAAATTATAATTTATCTCCTGGATAATAATAATCATAATAATTAAAAAGAAGGAAAAGAATAATATACATACCTACAAAGAAATCTGTTAACTTGTTTATTAGAAAAGTTACATGTTAACAAGGTGTAAAATATTTCATCAAATCAATGCAGTAATTTAAAAAATGGAATTAATCTTCCTTACAAATGCATTTCTTGAGTAAAAGATGTACCAGTTTCTTCATTATGGATGTAAAGGCTGCATGGGACTTCTATACTTTTCGCCAAGTGCAAAATAAAAATGGGCCAGATTCCCTTAGAAAATCTTTCAGTGAAAATTCTCTCCTTCAGATAGATAACTTTTGCATGCAGCCTTAATCAATGAAGTACCTCTTCCCCCAATGCTCTATAATACTGTTCTTCCCTAACTCAGTAAGCTTGTAAGCTATTTAAAAATTTTAAAATATCTGGTAAGTAATTACTTACTTAAAATATTTTTATGATTCTGTGGTTATTATTATTGACTAGAATTCTAACATGTACGTGTATATAAATGCATAACTGTAAATTAAGATATCAAATTTCCAGCAAAACCTAAATTAGAATTATTGACAAAATTACTATAGTACATCACAATTTGAGCAATACATTATAGTAATGTTAAGTAAAAATTAAACCTGTAAAAATTCACATCTAAGAGTAGCAAGAGTTACTTGCCAGTTTGCTTTATATCTCTATAGATTTTTGTTTTTTGAAAAATTCTCAGTAGCAATCAACAATAAAGTTTCTCAATAAATTGAATTTTGAGACTTTATTTACACTGGACTGGAAACAGAATAAAATAAGCATTGTTTGCAGAGCAAGCTATCACTTCCAAATGATTCTATATATAATATATATATATATAATTAATAAACGAGAGCGTGAAGTTCTATTACAATGCTGCAGTTAATTTACATAAAATGGTATTTCAGGAAAGTCACTAAGTCTATTCTTGACATTTCCCACTTTGAGTTTGAATAGTTACCAAAACTCAGCTTCATTTTCGGTGTTGATATGTGCGAGGTTTGCACCTTAATTGTCCACTACGTGTAGTTTTTGTACCACTAGACTCTTTAGTCTTCTCAACAGTTGCTGTATCCAGATGAGGATCTGTTGCTTCTAATGGACAAAGTTTTTTTTTTTTTTTTTTTTTTTTTTTTTTTTCTCCTCCCAGGATGAATTAAAGTACCAGACTTTTTTTTGATTTTGGCTGCTCATACAACTCCATCCGTGCTAGAATAAACTTCTAGAATTCTTCCAAATGGCCACTTTGTTCAATTTATGTTTTCTGTCCTGATAATGACAACATCTCCAAATTTGCACCGGTTTTTGATTTTTTGCCATTTAAAGTTGTGTGTCTCATTTGACCAAGGTATTCCACACGTAAAGGTGTTTGTAGGTCTTTATGAATTTTCTGAATATAGATGTGCCGTTTGTTCAACTTAAGGTAGTCTATACTGTCTAGGTTGGGTAGTCTTATTTTCTTCATTTTCTCCAAAAACATGGCAGGATTAAGATCTTCAATATCATCTGCAATATGATTCAAAGGACATGAGTTTATTGTGCTTTCACAGTCACAAAGTACTGTTGACATTTCCTCATAATTGAAGAATGTCCTTCCCTAAACATTTCTTTAACTCTTTCGCATCGAGAGAAGGCCAAATCTGGTTTCTTGAAACATCGAGAACGCCCGTGTACACGAGTTTTTCCTGAAATGGTTTTCCTCCCCTCCTGTCTAGTAAGCTGCTACAGCGTTAACAATAACCTACTTAAGTGAATTGATTACTATCTCTTGAGGGGGTTTTCGGGTCGTTTCACCCATTGTGTGCAGTTTTCCCTTAGGACAGGATTGCAAATGGGAGCATCAGTAGCTTTCTATATTTCTCCTCAATATTTTTAATGATTTAAGTACTTTATATTGCTTAAAATAACCGGTTTTAAGATGCGATAGTGTAGATTTAGAGGAAACAATTATGTATATTTATGGGGTCAGTAAGATTTTTCATTGTATACATTAAAGCGCAGTGATTCTTATAATAAACAAAATACGTAAAGGCAGTGTGTGTACATTGATATAATTTATTTTATTTAATAATGTTTTCATTGATTCTTATTTAAAAGAACTTACGAATAATTTTTATAAATAGAAAAGTCTGGTACCTTTTTATCTATTGTCACTGCAGGAAGAAAAGAAATATTTAGGGCAAATAGTTTAGTTGATAAATGGTGGTTTGACAGAGCTTGAATATTACCAGTTACATTTTACAGCCATCCAGCATGAAAATTATTTTCTAATATTTCCGCAGTTTTGTGCTAGTAAATACAAAAACTTTCATTTCATTCAGCAAGTTAATGCTACTGAGTAGAAATTTATTTCAAAATAAGAGCTATAGAAACCCTCTCTCTCTCTCTCTTATTACTGAAATCCCTTCATATAATTTGCATCCATTTACAGGATTAGCAATAAGCATTTATTAACATGCCTTTAATAAATTTATACAGATTTCAATCAATTGTTTATGGAATTAATATAATCTTAGAAGGAAAGTAAACCTTTACTCTTATATTGAAAAATAATTATTAGCTGTATATATTTGATGGTTTTAAAACTCGTGTTTCAGAAGAAATATATACTTTATCCGAGACATTTTAAATGGTTTTAACATTATAATTTTAGTTATGCATTATCAGGAACACTTATGATTATTAAAAATAAAATAACCCTCATACTTTCTTGAAATTTCAAGTGTAGGATACAAAAAGAGATTAAAGAAAGAACAGTTAAATAATTCATTAAACTTTTTTTTCTTCATATGAAGGAATATTTAAATAATGCACAAAGGTAGAAAAATTCATTTCTTTTTACATTTTACATTATTTTCATATGAAATCGTATGATTTCTCTTTAAGTTTAGATAGCAAACAAAAGCTTTCCTTTTACATTATTTGCTGGCCCTGAAAAGGGCCTTTTTATATAGCAAGAGAAACTGGAATGTCTATTCATCAAAGCAGCCTTTACAAAGGCACATCTTGCAGATTTCGCATTTCCATGTGCTTTGAATAAAATTGTTTGCTGATGTTTTATTTCTTTGCTTTCAACATTTAACGCACGTTCTTTTACGCCCTTCAATTTTTCTTCATTTATGAAAATGACTAGTAGTGGGTTCAAATGATGCTGAAGTGCGCTTTCTATATGAATACACATTTGCTAATTCTTGTATGAGTTCCAGCTTGAAATCATACAAAGTTTTTGACCGTTTTTGTTGAGGATAATTTGTCGTATGCTGAATTATATAGGCATTATTGATGGTAATATCCAGAAGGAACCAAAATATATACAACCACCATTTGGATGATTTTCTGGCAACTGTATAATATTTACGTCTCTGATCTGCCAAATCTACTCCTCCCATGTGCGTATTATATACCGCGAATAAACGTGGGCAAAGAACATCAGTTTTGTCTGCTCCTTTTCTTCTGTTCACATGACACAGTTCATTTTTTGTATTAGTTGATAGCTTAAAAATTTGCTTTTTATCTACCCAAGATGGGCACAACAAATTCGGAAAGTTTTCATTTTGAAAAGTCCGACTTTCATTTGGGATTTTCAATTTTAATGTTTTAATTTCAGGTGGCAAGTGCTTTCTGTTCGGCATAACAGTTCCGCAAGAATAAAATTTGTATTTCAATAAATCAACCATCAGCTGAACGCTGGTAAAAAATCGGTCAAAATAGAGTTCATGTCCCTTGCTTGTTAAGGGTTTTATCAAATGTGTAACAACATCGTATCCCAATCCTTTGCCTGACCTCACAATTTTATCTCGTTTTCCAGCATACAATTCAAAATTTACAGTGTAACCCAAATGAGATGTGCATAACATCCAAATTTTAAGCCCGCGCTTATCTGGTTTCAAAGGCATATACTGCACAATTCCTAAATGCCCTTTGAATTTTACCATAGCTTCATCAACCGAAAGATGTTTATATGGCTTAAAACAATCTGAAAACTACCCTTTTATCTTAGAAATAACAGGCTCTAATTTTTGCAAAAACTGAAAGTTTTCATCATTTCCCTTTACCTCTTTCTCTCTATCAGAGATATGAAAATAATGTTTTAATTTTTAAAAAAATCTATCTCTGCACATTAATTTAATCTTATCACTCTTTATCACTTCGTTGCCGAGTATAGAATTCTGAGACCAATAATCATTTATTCTAGGCAAACGCATAATGCTCATTATGAAAAAAACAGTTATAAAAGCCCAAATCTCATTTACG